ATTTAAAAAATAAAATCTTTAAATTAATTCAAATTAAATTAAAAAAAAATAGTCCCACTAGCCATATTTCGATTAACCCGTAAGCACATGTGGCCGGGGGCCATTGGACTGGAAAGCACAACACGCATCACTGCCACTGCGACACTGGGCAGTGTGGGCAAGAGGGATTTTCATGAAAATCTTTGCATTTTTATGTCCTCTATCTTTCTAATCCAATCATTCAAAGTTAATAATTTGAAATATTTCAATCCCCCCACAGGTTTTGTCTTAACTTTAAACAAAATTGGGATTATATTCTACTTATCATTTTACCCTTTGTTTTTTTCACTTACAGATTACGACCATTTTCCAAAAGATCATTAAATTCCTTCAAACACACTATGTTAATGGCTATTTAACATGCCATACTATGGAAATAATATAATTCACTTAATCATTGTCCTACTACTAGCCACTTTTGTCTTAACATTTTAAGGTGCATTTTTATAAAATATATAAAATATTTACATAATATAACACAATTTCCAAGTTAAGAAGTTACACGGTACCATTTAACAAGAAACTCTGAACGTAATGTACCTTAGCAGTCATTACAATACCTGCTTGTAAAATACAAAGTACATCTGCAGCTTCCTCCAAATACACTGGACTCTCAAACAGCTCAGATGACTTAAAAAAAAATTCTCCACTGGACTCAGACACCTTAAAAAAGAAAAAAAGAAAAAGAAAAAAAAAATGATGAACTCTATTAATTTCAGATAATGTACTAAATCCCTTACTATTTTTATAATTATTTATTGAGCTTACAGACCATGTTTCTAAATATGTTATTAATATACTGCAGCAGAATATGCAGTATTTGATAAATATGAGCCGCTTTAATCACAGTCACATTAATTATTATTCAGGTCTCAATAATTTATTTCTATATAAATATTTGGAGACATCTGGAATTAAAAATAAGACAAACCAAACAAATGAACCAGGAATGCTACCTACAAAAGTTATAGCTCGGGATACCTGGGTGGCTCAGTTGGTTAAGCGTCTGCCTTCGGCTCAGGTCATAATCTCAGGGTCCTGGGATCAAGTCCCACATCAGGCTCCCTGCTCAGTGAGGAGTCTGCTTCTCCCTCTCCCTGCTCCCCGCCTTTGCTTGTACTCTTTCTATCTCTCTCTCAAATAAAGAAATTAAAATCTTTTAAAAAAATTTTTTTAAAGTTATATCTCAAAAAAAGTCAAGAAATGGTAAACTTAAAGCAGTATAACAGATATAAATTATGTTCAACTGCAAATGAACTGTAGGAAAAACAAAATAAACATGTATATCAACAGAAGTAGCTACTAACTTTTTAAAAACTTTCCTACAGTAGCTTCATCACACTTCCCATTTGAAGAGTTCTGAGCTGAAATACTGGAAACCTCCCAGGGGAGAAAGGTCACTTATTTTACAAGATCCATCAAGTTAGATATTAAGAAAAAGGTGTAGGAAAAATATTGATTGAAATTAAGGCTATCAGTATAGTAGAAAAGAGTAGAAAGAAATAACTGTAATACAAAAACATTTTTTAAAAGATATGTAACATATATATTTGAATTAAAAAAACAAATAAATAGGGGCGACTGGGTGGCTCAGTCTGTTAAGCGACTGCCTTCAGCTCGGGTCATGCCCTGCATTGGGCACCCTGCTCAGCAGGAAGCCTGCGTCTCCCTCTCCCACTACCCCTGCTTGTGTTCCCTCTCTCGCTGTCTCTCTCTCTGTCAAATAAAAATATAAAATCTTTAAAATAAATAAATAAATTTTTAAAAATAAAGATTTCTAATATATCTTAAAGACTGCACTAACTGCACCCCCCAACCACCACCAGTATTTTCCTTGGAAACAGAATTTAGAGTTGTTCAGTCCACAGTTTATAAAACTAAACTTTATTTATTATAAAGTAACTGACCTTGAAATTCTAACAGTAAATAATTTTTGCCTCTGAAACTCTGGGCTTAATATATAAGCCATTTTAATATGAAGATCCAGCTTAATTATTTTTATAGTAGAACCCGGACATGCACAAATTTAAAATTCAGAGTTTCAATTAATCATAATTACCCAAAGGTCCATGAACTAAGCAATCTATCATTTTGCTGACATTCAAAGCTGAATAGCTTTCAGTAGTGTATAGCTGCAATTCAGTCATATAGTGAGTAAGCCCAGCCAATGATCCTACATCCAATTCAGCTTTGATATTCCCTATTCACTGATTATGTGAGATGATGAATGCTCATTCAGTGTCTAAAGGAATCACATACATTTTTCAGTTATGTTTTATAATATTTTATGAGGGAAATCATACCCTATAAAGATATTATCAAATTTGGTAATTTGTAGAAGTCTTGAGCTATGTACCCTTCTATATATCAAAAAGCCATTGTATGGAGTCCATGCAGAAAAAAAATCTCCACAGTAGAAAATGCAGAATAGGTACAAATGAGAGAAAATAGTAGAGAAAGAAAGGTAGGCATTTAATAGCCTTTTAAGCCTTTCACAGAAAACACTTTCAAAACAAATAGAAATACGTGTAAAGGAAGATGCAACTTGCCTGCCTTCTAGCCTGTTTCTTTTTTTTTTTCTTAAGATTTTATTTATTTATTTGTCAGAGAGAGAGAACACAAGCAGGGGGAGTGGCAGGCAGAGGGAGAAGCAGGCTCCCCGCTGAGCAAGGAGCTCCATGCAGAACTCGATCCCAGCTCCCTGGGATTATGACCTGAGGCAAAGGCAAGTGCTTAACCGACTGAGCCACCCAGGCATCCCCTCTGTTTCTACTTTCTATGTGTAGACATCAAATCATGCATATTCTGATGTGTGATTAAAATAAATGCACCTTGTTCATAATTGCCAGCAGTTCACTAAGCACAAGACGCAATCGACGAGGCGAATCACTGTGTTCAAACTCCAACGTCAATCCATGCTGAAGCTGTGATACCAGGATGCTCTCTCCACTGCCTCCTCCAAGTTTATGCCTAATAAAGTACAAATGTGTAAAACAACAATCATGAGAACACTGACACAGAAATAACATAAAATTATTTTTTGTTGAAATAATCTACAAAAGAATGTGTGAATTCTTTTCATACATTTCATGAATGTAATACTTCTGAAATACTATTTAGTTTGCCTATTTCAGGGATTCACAACCTATATAAAGACTCCAACTAATAGTTAACACCTACTTCGATGAACAACAATGGCTCACTATTGGGATTCACAATGGGTAGGGAAGAACCAAACAACTGCCCAGATTTTTGGGAAATCAATGTAAGCTCAAAAAGCCTGCCGGGTGATTCCAATAAATACTTCTATTCTAGGGGAACTTACCCTCCCCGCTTCCCACTGAGAATAATTCATCTAATCAGTTTAGCAGGAATACAACAGTATATGTAGCCAAACTTCTCTCTACACATTTTAGAATACAGAACTCAAAAGATCCTAGAATTTTAACTATAAATAGAAAAGAACTAGGTAAAATGCTCTCCAAAGTTTAGATTCTCAATCTTTTCTGGGAGAGTGCATCCAATAAAAAGTCCTAAAAGCTCCAAAGAAATATTTGATTCCCTGTTCTTTGATAAATCTAAGTAAATCCCAATCCACATATTATATAACACAACATTACCTAAGCTGCTGTTCTTTGCTGGCATCCTGTTCTAAAGCATGAAAGTCCACAGACAACAACGCAACAATGGAATTGACAGCTTCCACTCCAGAGAGAAGACGAAGGATCAGTTTTTTATCCTGAGCCCAGCTCTGGCTCTGGTCAGCAGGAGCACAGAGCGCCATCCGCACCAAGCAGGGCAGGAGAAGTCTTAATTCCGGATCACTTAAAGATGCTAACCGAACAACATCCACCTTCTGCATTGCCTCAAAAGCAAAAGGGCTGACAAACTGAAGACTTGTACACTCAGCCATTATCACTGTTGATCCTAATGATAAAAAAAAAGAAAGCAGGTATAATTCCTACATGTATGAATGCCCCTCTTTTTAAAAACCCAGAGAAATGTGGTCTATCTTTAATAGGCCCCTATGCTGGCTAGGTTTCTGGCACAATTAAAGGCTCCCTATGTTTTTACTCCCACCTAAAAATTGAGAAAGAAAACAGAGTACATTAACATCTCCTCCAGCCCTAGGGATCTTCTATTCTAATACTTATTTTGCAAAGAAATATGAAGCTCAGAGAGATTAAGTAAGAGGCATATAGTGATGACCAGCTAGTGGCAAAATCCAACGCTGAATCCCCATCTGCTTAAGCTCAGTCCAAGACTTTCTCCACTGCATCAATCATCTGAGCACCACAATGCAAATAAAAATGAGTAGTAAAGAATGTTCCTCTTCCGCACCTCTTTAGTTTTTTATGCCTACTCAACAAATGTAAAGAACTGTTAGGCTTCTCTTTCCCACCCTCCACGAGTCAATGGAAGCGAAATCTCACTAACCAAAAGCAATGCCAGAATCAACGTTCTGGAGGCCATAACACTATCCTAATGTCCCTTGTGTTGCTTGGGGGAAAAGAAAAACAGCTGTGGAGGTGCAATTAGCTATGGGAGAAAGATGAGCTCCACTTGGGCATTTCTGTCTTCACTAGTAATCAGAAGCCACCCTCCCAAAAAAAAGGCAGGGCGTAGGTGGCAAAGCCATCCCCTCAAAAACCCACAGACTAGCAAAATCGTGGGTTAACAGAGTCGTGGGTAAAAACGTTACTTTGTTTTTTAAGCAAGAGGCGCTGGCCTTTTAACAGAGGGGCAGGCTGAGGGAGCGGAGGCACCAAGCCTGTGTGTGCTCACAGATTTCGCCCTCAGCCTAACGAGAACCAACCAGTCCCTGGAAGAGAAATGTAAGGCCAGTGACCGACGTGGACCGGGAAACGCGCTAAAGCCTGAGAGGCGGAAGCTTCATACCTGAAGATTTGCCCTCCAACCTCCCGGGACCCGTGTAACACCGGTTCCGCGCCCTAGAGGCGGGACGCGGTAGAAATCTAGAGCGCGATCCGAAGTTGGGCCTACGCGAAAAATCCCGATTCGCCAACCCTAGCTGTGCCTTGAGTCGTCCCAGGGACCAAAAACCTAGACGCCGGGACCAATGGGGTTGGCAGCGCGACAGACTGTATGGGGACACCGCACAAGCACAAAGGAAGAACCCGCGCTGAAGGGAGGGGAAAGCGGAGGGGGCTGTTTCAACCTGCACCCAGCACCTTCATTCATCCCCAGCGTCTGGCTCCCGTCGGCCACCGTACTGAACTGAGAGGACGGCTGGCTGCGAAAGGAAACCCAGAGACGGCGGCGTTGATGCAACGGTGCGCGTGCGCGGCCCCACCCCTTCCTCCCCGCAATTGCCCTGCCTACCTTACACCACCCTCGAGCCGGAGATTTAGAATGGGGTTTCTCCAAAGGGTACTTACTACCTGTGTCCTTTTTGATTAAGTCCTTAAGCCTCTCCGAGCTACAGTTTCATCGTCACAGGATTTTTGTGGCACTTGAATGAAGTAACGTATGTGAAAGAAATGTTAAAGTGGTTTCCACTATTCTTTGACCGGAACACTAATGGAATCAGACAGTACTCTTCTCTCCATCTCTGCTTCTGCCCTCCTAGCACCAAAGTTCTAGAATCCTAGGATTTGTAGGTGAATTTAAAAACTAATCTTTTCCTGAGCTTACTTCCGCTCTTGACCTCACACCCTCAAGGTCGGGAGTTAAACATCTTACTTTCAGGATTCTGTACTTTATGGTCAAGGGTTAGGGGATGGGAAAAAATGGGTGAGGGGGGAGTGGGAGGTACAGGCTTCTAGTTATGGGATGAGTAACTCCCTCACAACATAGAAATTATAGTCAGTGGTATTGTAATAGATGGTAGCTACACTTGTGAGCATATAGCGTAACTTAGAGTTGTCCAATCACTATATTGTACACCTGAAACTAATGTAACATTGTATGTCAACTTTACTTCAATTTAAAAACAAAAACCAAAAACTTAGGGTCCATAGATCCTTAGAAAGTGATGGATGGAGTTTCAGGAATTGCCTAGAATCTGCAAAATTGTGAGTGCTTGGCACTTCTGGGAAGAGGGTCCAAAACTTTCAACAACCTCTCAAAGGGAGTCTAAGCATCCAGAAAAGATTAAGAACTACTAATCTCTATATATTTTCATACTATTTCTAGTTCCTGGTACAATCAGTGTGCATTTAGCACCTTCTCTCTACCAGCTATTGTGCTACAAGCTGGAAGCAAAAATATTTTACAGAGCTGCAACTTCATACTATATAGTTTCCAAGGCTTGCATAGAGTGATAATCTCCTAATAAAGTCTGCTTTCAACATTAAAAATAAATCAGCAAAGGAAGAAAAGAATTAATAATGTGTGTTGCAGTGTTTCTCAAACTTTTTTCCACCTGACCTACCGTAATACATTTCACATTGTGACCCAGGACACACATGTACATATATAACCACATTTTTTTTAAGATTTTATTTTTTTTAAGATTTTATTTATTTATTTGACAGAGAGAGACACAGCGAGAGAGGGAACCCAAGCAGGAGAAGCAGGATTCCTGCCAAACAGGGAGCCCGATGTGGGACTCAATCCCAGGACCCTGGGATCATGACCTCAGCCACCCAGGTGCCCCAAGATTTTATTTTCTTAAGTAATCTCTACACCCAACACGGGGTCTGAACTCACAATCCCGAGGTCAAGAGTTGCATGCTTCACCAACTGAGCCAGCCAGACACCCCTATACCCACATTTAAATGGAACAAAATTTTTATGAAATAATACACATACTACATGTTACATGTTCTATTTCTTTTTCTTTTTAAGATTTTATTTATCTGAGAGAGAGTGACTGAGAGAGCATGAGCACGGGGAGAGGCAGAGGGAGAGGGAGAAGCAGACTCCCCAACACAGGGCTGAGCAGGGAGCCCAACACAGGGCTAGATCCCAGGACCCTGGGATCATGATCTAGATCCCAGGACCCTGGGATCATGACCTGAGCCCAAGGCAGATGCTTAACCAACTGAGCCACCCAGGCGCCCCTAAAAAAAATTTTTTTTAATTGCTGGTCACTACACACTAAAATTGATTTCACAGTCAAGAGACTTACAAATTGTAAATTGTCATTTTTAAGCAGATATTTAATAAGAACATTTATTGAACAGTTGCTAGGCACTAGTATTTTATATCTATTATCTGATTTAATTCTCTGAGGTAGGTAATAGTCTCTATTTTATAACTGTGGGGAAATTAAGACTGAGAGTGGTTTAACAATTTAATCTCCCTGGATGATCATTTCACAGGGGGAGAATGAAGAGAAATCAAAGACTGTTTTGAAGGGTGAATGAGAGGAGAAAGGGGATGTGAACTAAGTGATTTTTTAAGATCTCTTCCAACTCTAGTTTATGATCCTGTAATCATTAATGGAGAAACAACATGCAGATACATCTCAGTCTATGATCAGCAGATCAATTTTCCCAACACCATTTGTTGAAGTGAGTGACTTTTTTCCATTGGATATTCTTTCCTGCTTTGTCTAAGATTAGTTGGCCATAGAGTTGAGGGTCCATTTCTGGGCTCTCTATTCTGTTCCATTGATCTATGTGTCTGTTTTTGTGCCAGTACCATACTGTCTTGATGATTACAGCTTTGTAAGAGAGCTGGAAGTCCGGAATTGTGATGCTGCAGAAGCGGTTAACCAACTGAGCCACCCAGGCATCCTATTCTTCTCTTCCAGTTCTTATCTCATTGAGTGTCATCCACTACCCAGAATTGCTCAAGCCAGAAACCTGGAAGGCATCCCAAGCTCCAGCCTCTCCCCACTCATATCCATGTAGTCAGAGTATTTCAAATCTACATTGTAATGTTTGCCAGTGAAGTCATTTTGACAATCATATAGAACTTAGTGAAAAAGATTTACTCATGAACTTCTGAGTTTTAGATCAGCTTCCTCTGAGGCTCATTCCCAAACATACTAAAATCAATTTTTAAAGATTTTGCAGCTCTAGTGTTTAGACAGATTAAGAACTTACAGAAGGGTAAAGTAGTCCTAACATTTAGTTGCCTATAAACCACAAAACTTTGATTATTAAAGGAGTATCTTACATAATTATGGTGTACCCTTTGTGATATAAAATGTTTGAGTGAATAACCCCCTTTTAAGACCAATGTGGTACTGAGGCTCATGACTATTTCTACTCACAAAAAGATATATTTCATTAACTCTGTGGTGACTTTTTTTCACATTTTTTTTAAAGTTTTTTATTTATTTGAGAGAGATAATGGGAGGAGGGGCAGAGGGAACAGGTAAAGAGAGAATCCTCAAGCAGACTCTGTACTGAGCACAGAGCCCTATGTGGGGCTTGATCTCAAGAGTCTGAGATCATGACCTGAGCCAAAATTGAGATGATTAACTGAGCCACCCAGGTGCCCCCTTTATTTTTTTACATTTTAACATCTTTGAAATTGGGATGCCTTTTTTTCTTTTTAATATTTGAGAGAGGGAGAGAGAGAGAGAGCATGCATAAGTGGGGGAAAGTGGCAGAGGGAGAGGGAGACAAAGAATCTTAAAGGCTCCATGCCCAGCACAGAGCCCAAGGTGGGGCTCGATCTCATGACCCTTGAGATCATGACCTGAGCTGAAATCAAGAGTCGAATGCTTAACTGACTGAGCCACCTATGCGCCCCTGAAATTGGGATGTCTTAAAATCAGTAGTGTGTTTAATTTACTTAGCATTTTTTGTCTTAGTGGTACATAAAATAATGTCTTACAATTACTGGTGTTTAGATATGGTGAAACATGTTGTGTAGTTCCTGTACTTCAGGTCAAAAGAGCAGACTCCTTCCTAAGTGAGGTAAATATTCTCCTTTGGCTTACTTTACTCTTTTCCACTTTAACTATTTTTCAGTAAGACTAAGGGGAGGAAGAAAAGGAGAAAAAAAAAAGAGAAAAAAACAGTACTATGTTTCAGGTATACTAGGTGTAGATTATTGCCAAGTAAATGAGCTTCAAGAAATTAGAAGACCTGGGTATTTAAAGGAAGACCAATATTCTTTGGAAATAGAATCACAGAATTACAAAGTAAAACGATCTCAGGAGCCATCTAACTCCAGTTTTCTCAATATGGAACTTTTTTTTTTTTAAGGTTTTATTTATTTGTCGGGGGGGGTGGAGAGAGAGAGAGAGAGCACAAGCAGGGGGAGCAAGAGGCAGAGTTGGAGAAGCAGACTCCCCACTGAGCAAGGAGCCCGATGTGGGATTTGATCCCAGAACTCTGGGATCGTGACCTGAGCTGAAAGCAGATGCTTAACTGACTGAGCCACCCAGGCGTCCCAACATTGAATTCTTTTTATAATTATCAATAATGTCCTGTTTTATCTTGTAAGATTCCTTCTATTGCTTTCCCCTTTGAGATCTTTCGGACTCTTCTCTTACACTGGCTATCTGCTTTGGCTATGCAGATCGTTATCTTCATTGATTTTATGGATAAAATATTGAATAGAATTGGGTCTAGCCAAGATTCTATAGCACAAGAATAGAGACATCCCTCCAAGTTGATAGAGCTCCATTAATCAAGACTTTTTTGGTATGATTGTTCAATTAATTATGAATCATCCCAACTACTATAACACTTCCCTGCTTTAGGATAAAGTTCATTTTCCCTAAGGTGGCACTCAAAATTAAGAGTTTTTCATGGTCTGACTTAATTCTGGCTTGGACTCCTGCATTATCTATCCCACCATAAGCATCTCTGTTTTAGTCTGTTGGACCTGCTTGTTTTCCAAATCCTTCATGCTACTCATGGGCCTTCTCTGCCCTCCCCCCACCCCGCCACCCCGTTCCTTCTGTCTGAATTCCTTTATTCTCTTTATGTAGTACCTATGTATACTTTAAGTCTCACTTCCAGTGTTTCCTTGCTAAGAAATCTTTCCTTGACAAACCACCTATATCTTCATTAGATTTAAGTATGTCTCATTGATGCTCCCGACACCCTTTACTTCCTTCCATCGTAGTACTTCATATATTGCACTATATTGTTAAAACTTGTCTCTCCTAAACAAAAAAACACCAACCAAACAAAAAAACCAAATACCTTGTTGGAGGGCGGGATCTATATTTTCTTTCTTTGCCCTTGGCACAGTATGGTACTTAATACTGGTTTGAATTAATGATTTAAGTGTAATGATCTCATGAGACCTTATTAAATAACCTGAATATGCATCTCTATACTCTATCAGTTTGTTAATGCTGTCAAAATGAAATGTAGAGATTGATTTCAACTATT